ATGTACCACCACCATATGTTAAAGCCCTCAGGGTGCAAATTCAACAGGCAAACTAAATTTACAGAGTTGGCACCAGTATTTGCAATCACTTGGAAGTGTATGCCAGCAAATCAGAGAGCCCCCTCCGGTGTCTGAGTATTTGTCATTAGCACCTATTAGGGCTTTCGCATGACCGGCTGAGAGGCTCTGAGAGAGCTTTGTAGCAAAGTTCGTCCGGCGTCCGCCATGATCTCTTTGCCGCTCTCTGATTTTCTTTATTCTTCTCTTTTATTCTTCTCTTTCTTCTGCTTTCTCTCAGTCTTCTCCTTCTCTCTATCTTTCTCTCTCTCTCTTTCGCTCTATTTATCTATCTGTCTCTCTATCTATCGCTCTTCTTTGACCTGTCGAATAAAATCTACAGCCTCCCCAGAGACAGGGAGAAATTAAAAGCCAAGAAAGCATTTGTCACCATTTTAAAGAGCATCTTCCTAGACTTGTAATGGAGGGCACTTGAGAGTCTGGACAGTTCCACGCCCTCTCCGCTCTCGCCCGCCTTCGGACGACCATCTCCGCCCTCGCCCGTCTACGTACGACCATCGCCCGCGCTCGCCTACGTACGATCATCTCCCGCCTACGAACGACCATCTCCGCCCTCACCCGCCTACGTACGACCATCTCCATCCTCGCCCGCCTACGTACGATCATCTCCGCCCTCACCCGCCTGCGAACGACCATCTCCGCCCTCGCCCGCCTACGTACGACCATCTCCGCCCTCGCCCGCCTGCGAACGACCATCCCGGTTGGGGACGAACGATATGAGTTCCGAGGACTCGCTTTCACAGGAGACTTTGATTTGGAGAGGAACAACAGCCATAAACGCGCGAGCGATGAGACGATCCCTGTGCAAAGAAATGCTCCATCGCGTATCTGAAAGGCGACGTAGACAGGTATGGAGATTCAAGATAAAAGAGGAAGAAAAAGAAGAAAGGGAATACATTACAAAGAAAGGAAAAAGAAAGAGAACAAAAAAATATATAGTTAAAGAAACGGGTATCAAAATTTGAAATAGTCATTCAGTGATACTTTTAAAGAACAAGTGATAAAGAGGTAGATAAGAGACATGGCATTGCAGGTTGCAGCACTGCAATCGTGTACATTCACGGCCTTACCCAAAGATAAACTTTTAATTAATGTGACAATAACTTACGTGTAATTTTTCAAAATCTTGTGAAAAGAGTATAAATATAAAGCACTTACATAAACAACCTTATATTTGTGTACAACTTCAATTGTTGTCTTCAGCTGACGACCACGAAGCCTGGGGGATTCATCGCGGCCTTGGTGGGCTATGTATAAAGGCAGCGTCACTGGAAAAAAATAAAAGGAGGTAGGAGAGAGAGAGAGAGAGAGATAGAGAGAGAGAGAGAGAGAGAGAGAGAGAGAGAGAGAGAGAGAGAGAGAGAGAGAGAGAGAGAGAGAGTGAGAGAGAGAGAGAGAGAGAGAGAGAGAGAGAGAAAATACCTTGTGTGAAGACTATTACTACTACTACTACTACTACTGCTGCTGCTGCTGATGATGATGATGATGTTGTGCTGTGCGGCAGCGATCTCCGCCCTCGCCCGCCTACGTACGACCATCTCCATCCTCGCCCGCCTACGTACGACCATCTCCGCCCTCGCCCGCCTACGTACGACCATCTCCATCCTCGCCCGCCTACGTACGACCATCTCCGCCCTCGCCCGCCTGCGAACGACCATCTCCGCCCTCGCCCGCCTACGTACGACCATCTCCGCCCTCGCCCGCCTGCGAACGACCATCTCCGCCCTCGCCCGCCTACGTACGATCATCTCCGCCCGTGCCCACCTACGAACGACCATCTCCGCCCTCGCCCGCCTACGTACGATCATCTCCGCCCGTGCCCACCTACGAACGACCATCTCCGCCCTCGCCCGCCTGCGAACGACCATCTCCGCCCTCGCCCGCCTACGTACGACCATCTCCATCCTCGCCCGCCTACGTACGACCATCTCCGCCCTCGCCCGCCTACGTACGACCATCTCCATCCTCGCCCGCCTACGTACGATCATCTCCGCCCGTGCCCACCTACGAACGACCATCTCCGCCCTCGCCCGCCTACGTACGACCATCTCCATCCTCGCCCGCCTACGTACGATCATCTCCGCCCGTGCCCACCTACGAACGACCATCTCCGCCCTCGCCCGCCTACGTACGATCATCTCCGCCCGTGCCCACCTACGAACGACCATCTCCGCCCTCGCCCGCCTACGTACGACCATCTCCATCCTCGCCCGCCTACGTACGACCATCTCCATCCTCGCCCGCCTACGTACGATCATCTCCGCCCGTGCCCACCTACGAACGACCATCTCCGCCCTCGCCCGCCTACGTACGACCATCTCCATCCTCGCCCGCCTACGTACGATCATCTCCGCCCGTGCCCACCTACGAACGACCATCTCCGCCCTCGCCCGCCTACGTACGACCATCTCCATCCTCGCCC